GCCCCTCAGCCCACAGACTGGCGGGGCCCTGATGCCACGTCCTCCTGCAGCTGGTGTCGGGCCCAAATCCAGAGCGTCTCTGCCAAGGGGTAGCGGCAGCGCAGAGTCAGCCTGGTGAGGGTGACATTGGCTTAGCCCGGGGAGGGGGGAACCTTGGACCTCTCACACTGCAGGGACATCCCTCCTGGCCCCAGAGCTGCCCCTCACCTGTACCACGAGTCCCGGCTGATGATGGGGAAGATGGCGGGGACCCCCTCAGGCACGAAGGTCACCTCATTCTCATACACCAGGGAGTCCAGCGCAGAGTCAGCCTGGTGAGGGTGACATTGGCTTAGCCCGGGGAGGGGGGAACCTTGGACCTCTCACACTGCAGGGACATCCCTCCTGGCCCCAGAGCTGCCCCTCACCTGTACCACGAGTCCCGGCTGATGATGGGGAAGATGGCGGGGACCCCCTCAGGCACGAAGGTCACCTCATTCTCATACACCAGGGAGTCTCCTTCAAACTGCAGGGGAGACAGGGACAGACTGGGATTCCTTGGGCTCCCCTGACCCCAGGAGCTCAGCCCCATCCGGCCTCATGGAGTCACAGCTTCTGGGTCACTCCCAGGTCAACCTGTCCCCAACATCTCGCTGGGCGAGGGAGCTTGGCCCAGCTAGAACACAGACTGAGGCCAGTGAATCCAGCTAGCTGGGCTGGCCTCTAGCTGTGGTGGGGCTGGAGGGTTCCCTGTACCCACATGGCTTGCTTCCCAAACAGCCGGCCTGCACCACTGCCCCATGGCAAAGCACTGCTAGCCCTGCCACCATCCCCTCGGGCCCAGCATAAGGCCTGGACTAAGCGAGAGCCTGCATCAGACCCACTCTCCGATCCCCAGCGGCCTCTCCCCAGTCCCAGGCGCCCACTGCCTGCCCCATGCTGTGGGGGCTCACCTGCCGTGTGGTCCCACAGGAGGCCAGAGAGAAGGAGAAGAGAGCCTGCGAGGAATCAGAGGCCACAGGCCCACAGCTTGGGTCCCTCAGGTGGGTCCGGCGGGGGTCAAGAGCAGGCCGGGTGTCCAGGCTCCGCACGGTGGCCACCATGGTGCCATTGGGCAGGCACACTGTGCTCGGCAGCGGGGAAGACAGCCTTGATCAGGCCCAGAGTCCCGCTATTACTCCTCATTTTCCCAGCAGCAGCTTCTGGGCAGCACTGTGCTCCCCCCAAATCCCATGCATGGTGTGGGCAGCTCCGGAGGGCTCTGTGCGCTCTCACCAGCGTGGAACTGGGCGCCGGGTGGGGGCCCTTCCCCCCACTGCGGAGGACAAGGCTGGCCTGCAGGGTGGTGGCCAGTGGCTGTGGAGGGGTAAGGACTCAGCCCCGACTCCTGAATGAGCCAGATCTAGAGGAGATGGGACACCTGTTCAACCAATCCCTTCAGACGGGCCCAAACCCTCCCCCGGGACATCCGGTGCTGGGGTCTCCATCCAGGCACTCACCCAGAAGCTGCCCCGTGGGGAAGGTACAGACAATGGAGAAGGACGCCAGGACCGCGAGAGTCTTGTTGTCGCGCAAGGAGAACTCCAGCCGTGCTGCCAGCCAGTGCAGAGAGATGCTCTGGAGAGGCAATGGCAGGGGGTGATCTGTGGGCCCAGGCAGGACCCCACCCCAGCAGGCTCAGCACAACCCAGGGACTGGGAGAGGCCAGGCCAGCGCGAGGGCTGGCTACTGCCCCCTTTCGTCCTGAGGGCAGCAGTTACCTACCAGCCCCTGCTGGGGAAGGCATGAGGTAGGCTGGGACCAAGGGGCTAGATCAGTGGGTTAACCCAGCCCCTGCCCATCCCATGGGGCACTAGACCCTTCCCCCCATTCTCTGAGGAGCCAGGCAGTGCGCCGAGACTCTGCTGCATGGTGGGAGGTGGAGTCGCTCCCCACTCAGATGCAGCAAGCCTGCGTGTTGGATTCTCCTCGCCCCCCCAGGGCACAATGGGACAGGCGGCACCTTGCTGCAGAGAAAGGCTTCAAAGGCTGGTGCTAAGTGACCAAGAAGAGCTGGGAAAGGGCTTGCAGAGGGAGAAAGAACACAATTGCTGCAGCGTGGACAGGTCACACACCGCCAGTGCCAGCACTGCTCCTGGTCCTCCACGGGCACCTGAGTCCAGCGGGAGACCCCAGCCACAGGCGGGGACTTATCAGAGACTGTGGTCTGCATCTCCCTGTCACAGAGAGCCAGCCCGGGACAGGTGCCTGCTAGTAGAATCTCCCCAGAACCCAGAGGGAGAGTGACAGGAGGAGGGGGCTGGGCTGAGGACAAGGAATTCATTGAAAATGCATGTGGAGACCTCCCAGGCTGGGGCCAATCAGCCGGAGAGACCTGCCCTCGCGCAAGGAGAGACCTGCCCTCGCGCAACAAGGAAACAAACAGCTCCTGCCCAGGGCAGTCGGCTGAAACTTTTTGGAACTTTCATGTTGCGAGACATTTTGCTTTTTTGAATTGGAGGGGGGGCCGCGGTGCCATTCCCAGCACCAAGTGACCAGCTTCCCCTCTTCCCAGCCGTATGGACGCTGCCTGCGGAATGGCAGACACTCCCCCACGGCGTGAGCAGCGCCTGTGCCCAGTTAAGGGTAGGTGGCCAGCTGCCCTTCTCGCTGCCTCCCCCGAGAACTGCAATCCCCACCAGAAAATGTGTCCTGCCTCCTCCCCAGGCCCCGAGCTCCCCCACCCACCTCATAGGCCAGGCCAGGAGCCAGAAGGGAGACAGCCAGGCGGAAATGGTGACCATCATCTGACACTTGGTAGCTGTGGGGAGCTGCCTGCTGGCTCAGGGGCTGCTCCCCAACGTAGGGGACCCAGAACCGGTCCAGGCTCCCCCGAGTCATCACCAGCACGAGTGCCCCTGGCTCACAGGAGCCCTGGAAGGTGGGTGGCACTGCCAGGAGGAAAAGGGAGTAAATCAAGGCCCATGAGCAACTCGGAGCCAACAGCTCAGCAAGGCCCTGTGCTGGAGGGATACGGGGATGGGCAGCGGGGAGCTGCTAGGAGGGGTGGGACATGGAGCCACTGACACCCACAGACTCCTGACCACGCTCACTCATGCCACCCCAACCCTTGTGCCAACCTCTGCATCTCCCCACATTAGCACCAACCCCAGGTCCAGCTGCAGCCTGCCGGCCCTCACAGCCTCCCACTCCCCTCCTTCCCAGCCTGGAGCCGGCCCTCACAGCCTCCCACCGCCCCCCGTCTCACCCTGGAACCGGCCCTCACAGCCTCCCACTCCCCTCCTTCCCAGCCTGGAGCCGGCCCTCACAGCCTCCCACCGCCCCCCGTCTCACCCTGGAACCGGCCCTCACAGCCTCCCACTCCCCTCCTTCCCAGCCTGGAGCCGGCCCTCACAGCCTCCCACCGCCCCCCGTCTCACCCTGGAACCGGCCCTCACAGCCTCCCACTCCCCTCCTTCCCAGCCTGGAGCCGGCCCTCACAGCCTCCCACCGCCCCCCGTCTCACCCTGGAACCGGCCCTCACAGCCTCCCACTCCCCTCCTTCCCAGCCTGGAGCCGGCCCTCACAGCCTCCCACCGCCCCCCGTCTCACCCTGGAACCGGCCCTCACAGCCTCCCACTCCCCTCCTTCCCAGCCTGGAGCCGGCCCTCACAGCCTCCCACCGCCCCCCGTCTCACCCTGGAACCGGCCCTCACAGCCTCCCACTCCCCTCCTTCCCAGCCTGGAGCCGGCCCTCACAGCCTCCCACCGCCCCCCGTCTCACCCTGGAACCGGCCCTCACAGCCTCCCACTCCCCTCCTTCCCAGCCTGGAGCCGGCCCTCACAGCCTCCCACCGCCCCCCGTCTCACCCTGGAACCGGCCCTCACAGCCTCCCACTCCCCTCCTTCCCAGCCTGGAGCCGGCCCTCACAGCCTCCCACCGCCCCCCGTCTCACCCTGGAACCGGCCCTCACAGCCTCCCACTCCCCTCCTTCCCAGCCTGGAGCCGGCCCTCACAGCCTCCCACCGCCCCCCGTCTCACCCTGGAACCGGCCCTCACAGCCTCCCACTCCCCTCCTTCCCAGCCTGGAGCCGGCCCTCACAGCCTCCCACCGCCCCCCGTCTCACCCTGGAACCGGCCCTCACAGCCTCCCACTCCCCTCCTTCCCAGCCTGGAGCCGGCCCTCACAGCCTCCCACCGCCCCCCGTCTCACCCTGGAACCGGCCCTCACAGCCTCCCACTCCCCTCCTTCCCAGCCTGGAGCCGGCCCTCACAGCCTCCCACCGCCCCCCGTCTCACCCTGGAACCGGCCCTCACAGCCTCCCACTCCCCTCCTTCCCAGCCTGGAGCCGGCCCTCACAGCCTCCCACCGCCCCCCGTCTCACCCTGGAACCGGCCCTCACAGCCTCCCGCTGACCAACATTCCACCATGGCCACAGCCCTACTATGCCCTGCCCCAGCTCACCCACATCTGGGACGTCGCAGGTGACGAGCCCTGGCTGGGCAAAGGTCTGGCCCGTGGGCACCAGGCGCAGGGTGTAGTTGAGGTGCAGGGTGTAGCGCCTGAGGGGGCCATGCAGGTACTGCCAGAAGGACAGAATGGGTCAGAGTCAGACCCCCCAGCCAGGGGCACAGAGCAAAGTGGCTGTCCTAGGGCGTGCCATGTGAGGCACCCTGACAGTCCCACCTCTGCTGGCCCCTCATGCCAGCCTGCAGCACGGGCCAGGCCTGCCAGAGCAGCTGGGGCTCTGAGCCCCCATGCCCTCTGCCGTCCACCCCGGCCCCCCTTACCTGCTGCTGCACCAGGGGGTCAGCAAAGGGCACCCTCAGTGCAAAGGCCTTGTTCCATTGGGGTTGGGCTCCTCGTGGGGGTCAAAGCCGCAGTCCTGGGCCTGGTGGTGGCTCAGGGGCCCTCC